GGAAGAAAGAAGGAAGGGGAAAACAGGTAGGATTAGGGTCTGGAAGTGTTTGCTTTTTCCCTCTTAAGATAAGAGGAAATCTGCTTATCTTATCTTTGGAGGTCAGAGGAAAGGCAGGCTGCTTCTCAGCAGAGTTTGTTCTTCTTGACCTCAAAGGTCAAGGTGCTTATCAGCTAAGCTTCCTTTTTTGGGTTCCAAAGTCTGTAGGTCCCTGTTGGGGAGGGGGGAAGCTGCTGCTATTTGGAACCCTAACAAAAGACCCCTGAAGGGTCTTCATGACTTGGATCAAATCTGGCTTGGCACCTTTCCATTCCATGACAAAATTATTGTAGTACTCACTGGGATGGAAAGGAAGATTGTCTTCAAGAGGACTGCATTAGGGCCTCGCAGAAGGGGAGACAAGTATGGCACACAGCACAGAGCTCTCGGGATTTATAACCTGTGAGGACTGGGGAATTTGATATCCTGAAAGTTACTAAGAGAAATCCTCAAGGCTTCAGAGTTGGAGAATTCTTGCTAAAACTGACTTAACAGGACTTTTTAAATCTTTATTTTATGTGCATGAGAGTTTTACCTGCATGTATGTAAGAGTACTTGTTGTGTAATACCCACGGAGGTCAGAAGAGAGCATTGGAATGGATCCCCTGGGAACTGGAGTTAGGGAAGGTTGTCAGCCACCAGTTGGAGGCTAGGAACTGAATTCGTTCCTCTACAAGAACAGCCAGTGCTGCTGAGACATCTCTCCAGCCCCCAGGATTCAGGATTTTTTTCTGTTGGTTTTTTTGTTTGTTTGTTTGTTTGTTTGGGGTTTTTTGTTTGTTTGTTTTGTTTTGTTTCTTTGAGACAGGGTCTCATTGGTTTGCCTGGAGCTTGCTATGTAGATCAGACTGGCCTTGAACTCACAGAGATCTGCCTGTCTCTGCCCACGCCCAAAGATTTAACAAGATTCTTGCCAAAGGCAGGCCATGGAGATCAGCTATCAAGGGTGGGGTATAAGGAATCTGATTCAGCTCTCAAAGGTGATCAGAAAGGAAGGTTGAAGGTTCTAGTAGCAGAATTCTTGCAAAGACTGGGTAATAAAGGCCGGAAGAGGACAGGACTGATACTGAAGGTCAATGCTGAGGTGTTGCCAAGAAGAGAGCTCAAGGAAGGAATGTTATGTGGCTTGTAAGATGCTGTTTGTTTTGAACTAGATATGCAGTTCAGCCTTCCACCCCCACTCCTAGTCTTAGGGAAGCCTCCCTTCCCTTTGCTCTATGTCAGCAGGACCTGTTCCTTAATTCAGCATCCAGTTTCTGAGTACATCTTCAGTACGAGCCCTGTGCCAGAAAACACAGAGAATGTCAGATCCCAGTGTCCAGAGGAATATGGCTTGGCTAGATCCTGCTTCCTCTGTTGGCACCTTGGCCCTGCCATTTTGCCAGGCAGCTCTCCCTACAGAAGTGGGTGCTCATGTTCTTAGAGTAACAGTATGGGCTTCATTCCGCCTTGAGTTTATGAGGCCAAGACCTCTAGACAGGGCATTCATGGTGTTACAGCTCAGCTACCTTCCTTGCATCTGTAGATCAAACCACTCCAAAGGTTAAAGTGTGATATCTTCCTGTACCCAGTCCCCCACGGCCCTCTAGGAATGTCTGCCCTCTAAAAATCAGGTGATAGAAGCAAATACTGTCAGACATCATTGAATTTTCAGGGCAGGAAAGGTCTGTAGTCCAGCCCCCTCTTTTTACACAGGCCCAAAACTGAGAGGACTTAGCCCCGTGCCCAGCACATAGAAGGTACTTAGGAAACATTTGCTTAATGAATATTAGGTTGCTTTCTAAGGATCACATCAAATTTGGTGCAGAGCCTAAATTGGAAACTAGATCTCCATACACTCTACCCCCTTTCTAGCAGCCCACTTTTGAGTACCACCTCCTTTGGTTAACCTAATAAAAAGATGGATAGGGCACCCCTATTACTTTGGTAGTGGTGAGTGAAAATTAAAACCAAGATTCTTTTTGCACCATGCAAGTGCTCTACCACCAAGCTATACCACCATCACCGCACTCCCTCATTTATATTTAGATGGCCTGGGTTCTGGGTTCAAATCCCCATCCAACCACTGATTCATTGTGACAAAACCTGAATTACCAAACTTACTTGGACCTTGGCTTCCTCCATTGTAGGAAGCGAATCATCATACATATATGAAAGGGTTGTCATGAATATCAGATGAGATATAGTTGTAGTCACTTAATGATGGGAAATATACCTTTAGGCCAAGTCTTTGTACAAATACCTGGAATGTACTTTAAAAACTGAGATGGCTATAATGTCTTTAAACTATATAATATTACAGGGTCATTGCTGTACATGTAACTGTAGGCCTCAGTGGTGTCATGTGGCACATGACAGCAACACTTACATTGCTGAACTTGTCTTTTTTGTTCTGTGTTGTTTTTTGAGACAGGGTCTCATTTATTCCAGGCCCACTCCATACTTACTCTGTAGCCAGTTTACCTTGAATTCCTGATCCTCCTTCCTCCACCTCCCAAGTGCTAGTGTTACAGGTGTCTACCATCATACCAGCTGTAAATTGTTGGATTCCATATTTGGCACACAGTAGGAACTCTTTAAATGCTAAGCCACCTTTCCCCACCAGGTGATGATGTCGGACTAGGATTGTTGTCTTATATTTAAAATGCTCCTCAAATGATAAGCAGAGATTTAGACTGTAGGAAATGGTACAAGTGAGCCTTGAATTTAAGTGAACCTAATATATAGAGAATTAGATTTAAAGAAGGCTAAAATGAAGGTGGAGGTGATTATTTAGCAAGATCCTCTAGAGCATTTCAAAGAAAATTTGATTACAAAAATTTAATTTACACACAACTTTTCCACTTCACTAGACCCTGAAAAGACCCAATTAGATTAGAAGAAAAAAATGATATAATGAGCACTGAAACCCATCCAAAAGTAGCAATCACTTGTCAATGAAACTGCTTTCTTTGATTGTGACCCAGGGTGCCATCCAATGTAGCCTGATTTCCCATGAAATGTGATTATTTTTATCCTTAAGTAGATTTCACCAGCATGGTATATTCCAAAGGATGCAGGCCCTGTGGGCTGAGGGAAGATGTCCCTTCATTCTGAAAGCTCTCTGGTCCCCAAATAACCCTAGACTTTTCTCCCATTTCCTAGCAAGTGTCTGGAGTTACCCAAACCCTGGTTTCCTTGGAAGAGAGGATGTGAGAAACTGTTCAACCAACCCTCCGGTGAGGTCTTAACCCTCTATACCCCAGACACCCTGTCACCCTTTCCATCCTCTATTGGCTCAGTTGTTAACCTCTCCCCTTACAGGCTTTCTCCCAATTTCTGCACTCTTGGGCCCCTGTTTTTTTATTAAAGTCCAACAGCAGAGGCTCAAATGTCTAACACACCCACTATGGGCACTCGACCCCTGAGCCCCCTCATTTTCATAGCTTGTTGTGTACGCCTTCTCTGGTCTGGGGCTGGGAAACACCCAAGTGGAGGGAAGAGAAGGTGGGTGGGCAGGGAGACCCCCCAGCAGGCCTTTACCAGAGGCTAGAGAAAGGCAAGGAGAAAGATGGAAGGAATAAAAACAACAATTCTAGAAGGAAACTGTGAAGAGGGAAGCACAGACGGAGGAGGGCAGAAGTCAGTGGGCTAGAAGAGCCAGGTGAACGGCAAGAGAGTGAGGCTTACAGTATGAAAATCAGAAGGCCTGGCAGATTGGATCCAAAGGGAAGAAGGTGGCCAGCATCCCAGCTGGATACCAGAGTGGTTGTTCCCACAACCAGAGTGAGTAAAGATCTCCAGGGCAGGGGTGGGCCCAAAAGTGTGAGGAGGTGGGCAAGCTGTAGTACTCTAAGCCACAAGATAAACATAAGCAATGGCAACTTCACAGGACCTCTAGGGCCAGCAGATGGATGGGCAAGCCACATCACTTTCATATTAAAAGCAACCTGGTTTTCTTGTAGAGTATAAGGCAAAGCAAACAACAGCAACAACAGCAACAATGAAACCCATAGTATTCAGTAGAAAGTTAAAAGACCCTTTATAAAAATGTCTGGCTGGGGGACAGTCATTCTGGGAAAGGGCACAAACTACTAGGGTCTTCATTCATTCTTCTCTGCTACCCAGAACCAATGGGTAATTAGTAGAAACACACCCAAGGTAGAGGTGCCATAAAAAACTACACGACATTTGAATTGCAGGTAACTAAAAGTTTAGTGTTAAAATGTGCTCCAAATGGTGCATGGAAAATACTTATATTAAAATATTGTTCTTTATTTATTTGAAAGTCAAACATGACCAGGTCAGTACCCTGTACTTTCATTGCTAAATCTAGCAACTGAATGCCCAAGATATCCCCAAAGGAGCTTTCCCACATCCTGGTCCAGGACGAGAGCTGAGATCCCTATAGTTCTCACCCATAAACTCAGGGGGCATTCAGGTCCCTTGATTGTCACACACAGTCTTTCTCGAAGCTCTATAGCACCTCCATCTCCATTCAGTACAGACATCTTAATTTAGGCCAACAATAATACCAGCAGCCACCCCACCTCTCCTGGGTCCCAAAAAGCTTAAATACTCCTAAGCTCACTCTTAAGAGAAGCTGGATGCTCCCCTAAAGGCAAGTCCTAAGCATCATTTTCTCTGACCAATGAGTGTGTTTGGTATCTGTTTGTCATTCTGTCAGCATCTGCCAGTCACTGCAGTCAATACAACACTACGGCTTGCAGCCCTCCGCCAGCAAATACAGAACTGGAATCTCTCTGCCTATATCATTCCAGACACAGATGCACACATGGTAAGGACCAGCTCTATCTCCCTCACCCTCTCACCTACCTGGGGCTAGCCTCTAAGCATAGGTCAAAAACAAGAGACTGGTAAGACTCAGAAGCTGAAGACAGAGAAAACATTTGATGATCAAAGGGATGAAAATGGAGAGCTCATACGCAGTGGTTTAAGAGCAACTGAGAGAACATATTCCTTTACAAGAGAGGAAAGGCATGACCAAATTGCCTTGACCTCAAGAAATGATACTATAAAACAACTTTAGGGACCAGTAAGATGGCTCAATGGATAAGGGTGCTTGCTACCAAGCCTGATGATCTGAGTTCGATTCCTAGAACTCACATGGTGGAAGGAGAGAACCAACTCCCACAAGTTGTCTTCTAATCTACACACACATACACACATACATACATACACACACACACACGCTTGCATGCACACATGCATGCACACACATACACACAAATAAGTGTAAAACAAATTAAAACAACTTCAGAATAGACTCTGATAAATTCCCAGGTAGTAGAACTAGAAAGAATGTTTAGGGGATTCCCTGCTGTAAGTGACCAGAATAGAGGCTGGGAATGGGCCAGGAAGAACTCTAAGCTCCCTTCTGGTCCGGGTCTTTTCAGAACATGCTGGATGGAGCACTGTGATGACCAAGAGTGCTAGACTATACAAGTTTGGGGATAGGCTGAGGGAGAGGACAGACAGCAAACAAGGTGGTCTGTTTAAAAACTATTTTCCCTCAAATAGCAATTCCACCTAGACAGTCCACATTTTCCCACCTGTGGCTCTGCTTCCACCCCATCCAGCCTCCCCACAGCAGCCCAGCTGGAAGAAAAGGCATTTTCAGTGTTAATGGACTTGCTTAAGTTAATTTCCCACCTGCTGGAGATGCTTAAGAACCTTAGATATTAAAAAAAAAAGAACCTTAGATATGTATCTGAACGTCTTTAAGCAAAATAATAATGATATGTCTTCAAGGATTATGAGGACCAACACACAGTCATCCCTTGGTTCCCACAGTCCAAAAGAATAACTAGTCAAGTCCCTTATATAAAATGACATGGTATTTGCACATAATATACCTATCCTTCCACATGCTTTAAATCATCTCTAGATAGCTTGTAACACCTAATACAATGCAAATCTATGTAAATGGTTGCCATATGGTTTTGCCTAGGGAATAATGACAATAAAAACATGTGTACATATTCAATACAGACCCAGTTTTCCCTGTATTTTTGACCCAAGGTGGATGGAAGCTATAGATACAGAATCCATGAATATGGAGGTCCAACTGGCCAGTAGTGTATATTATATAATTATATATTACATAATATATTATAAAATGTATATAGCCCTGTGCAGAAGTTATTGATGAAGTATACAGTATAGTTTGATAGAGTAAGGAGGAAGAGGTGATAGTTAGAGGGAAATACCAAAAGGCATGACCCTAGACTACATGGAATTTGCACTCTGATCATGGTGTGAAATTTTGCAGAATAATCTAATACAACCCCAAGTCTAGTGCTAGATTGCAGGCTTTAGATGCTAAGAAATACAGTATTTCAAAGGAAATCAAGATAGCAGACTGGGGGAGTTTCAAAGGGCTTCCTGGAAGAGGTGCCCACTGTGGCAAGACAGAAAAAAAAACAAACCTGGACTGTAATTGGGGCCTTCCACGTGGCACCTGACTCCATGAAGAAAGCTAATGATAGTGTTGTCGATTTCCTAGAGTGAATACATTAGCAAACATGATGAGAGGCGTGCATGGATTTCAGGCTTCACGGGAACTACAGGTAACAGCCTTTTACCTACCCTCATTGCTTCTGCTGGTACACCTGAGGTGGTCACAGAGGACCTGGCATGGCAGGGTCCTTAGCAGCACCTCAGGCTGGTGTTCACCCTTGTCTCCCCAGCTCCCATGAAACCAGCATGTTTCATAGGTCAAATACCTCATACCCCACTGGCTACACGTCTTTACAGAAATGAGGCAGCTGGCCCTCCTGGCTTCCTTCCCATACTCACCGCCTCTGCCACAGCCAGGCCTAGCGAAGTCTTCTAAGCTTGGTTTCTGAGATAATTGCTATTTCCACTCTATCGACCTGCTCTTCCCTTCACATGCTGGCTCATTTGGGGATAAAGTTTTACTTTGCAGATCTTTTTACAGACAACATCACTTTGCATGGCCAAATGAGACATAAACACAGAAGCTCTTAATGATGTCTAGGTTTCTGAAGGGGCCTCCCACCCCGATCCTGTTCCCTTAAATGAAAGACAGCTTTCTTTGTTGATCCTCTCACATTCCTCCTGAGCTTCAAGGTACTATGCCTCCCTCATTGTGAGCCCTAATTCTCACTGCCACAGTTGTTGGATTTGTTTTCCCACCAATCCTCAGATATGCCTCTAGTTTAATGTCCTTATCAGCCCTCAAGTCTTGTCACTGAGTCTTATCTTTCCTTAGAACACCCACAGGCAGCTTTAGCTCTTTTAGACTGGCAGAAGCCAAGAGCATTCTTTTCCTGCTAAAAGTTTGAAAGGCCCTCCATAGAGACCTACAGCATAAAGCACAGATGTGTGGTCCAGGGAGCTCTGTTTATTGACTGCCTGCAAGACTGTCCTCAACATCTCCTACCCCTCTTCCTTCCAGTGGGGGGATAAGCTTAGTCTAGAGACCCCTGTGACATGCACAGAGCCAGTACTATATTACACATCACCTACAAAGTCGCATTCCTCACTTTCATCTTCACCCTCACCTCAGACGTCTCTACTCTGTGCAGGTACTGCTGTGGTGACCCTGGGGAAAGCAGCTGTCTGGACTGACAGTCGCTACTGGACTCAGGCTGAGCGGCAGATGGACTGCAACTGGGAGCTCCATAGGGAAGGTAGAAGGTCTACATGGATTTGGTCCCCCAGCCCCGGACCCCAAATTAGGTTTGGGGAAATATAGATGAGTGGCTATACTCCAGCCTCTGTGGAAAGCTCGGGGAAATATAGATGAGTGGCTATACTCCAGCCTCTGTGGAAAGCTCAGGTAATATGAATCCATCTCTGACCTTTGAAGCTGACATAAAGAACACATGTGATAGAACTATCACAGACAAATGTCTGTCTGGGTGTGAGACTGGTCCTGGAGAGGAATATCTCTCTCTCTCTCTCTCTCTCTCTCTCTCTCTCTCTCTCTCTCTCGCTCGCTCTTTATAAGACAGGGTCTCCCTGTAGCCCCAGCTGACCTGGAACTCACTATGTAGACCAGACTGCTTTTGAACTCCCAGAGACCCACCTGCCTCTGCCTCCCAAGTGCTGGGACCAAAGGTGTGCGTCACCACGCCCGGCTCCTTCCTATCTTTCAGCTGATGCTGTTTCCGTTGCCACCTGGATCCTTACTGAAATCCCTGCTGGAGGACGTGTGGGCTTTGACCCCTTCCTCTTCTCTGTTGGTATGTTCTTCTCTTACAATGAAGGTGGCTCAGTCTTCTGGGAGTAAACAAACATACTTGCTTAGATATAGGGCAATGTGACCATAGAGAATTTTGAAGCTGTGGTTGCAGAAATATTTTGCAACAAAGATATATTCATGGATTGTGTAATGAAAATATGTTAAAAGAATGAATACAAACTTTTGAAAAGGTCATGAGTACAGAAAGCCTACCCAGAAGACTTAGAATTAAGGCTTCATTAAGATTCAGTGGATAAATAGTCCTAGATATCCTTGACCCCAGAACCATCCTCTGGGTCCTGGCACTCTATTATGGTACTTGAAATCACTTGGAAAACTTTTCTGGAGGTAGCTTAGAAGGGTCAAAAGTGTTTAAAAAGGGGGGGGGGGCTTTGAGCAAAACAGGGTCCTGGGGAATACAGCTCCCTGATTTCCGGGGCCCTAGGCAGCTGGCCAGCCAGCCCATGCTATCAAAGATAGGCTCTTCATAAAGACACACTGAAAGGCTTCTACTTCCAAACTACTTTCCTTGTTGACCTATTCAATGACCATCACCATTCCTCTGAATGGTGACATTGCTTCCTATTGAAAATGCTTAGTGGTACAGAGAGACCACCCCAATCACTGGCACTTTAAAAATGCCAGATTAGGGCTAGAGAGCTATTTCAGCATTTAAGAGCACTGACTGCTCTTACAGTGGATCTGGGTTCGATTCCTAGTACCCACATGGTGGCTGACAACTGTTTATAACTCCAGTTCCAAGGAATTCAATGTCCTTTTCTGGCCTCCATAGGCATTGCACGGCCGTGGTGCACTTACATACATGCAGGTACAACACACACAGCATAAAATAACAATAATAAATTAAAAATAAAAAGACTAGATTAGAGCCAGGGATGCAGTTCAGTGGTAGAATGCTTGCTTAATATCCACAAGGTCCTGGGTTCAATTCTTAGTACAAAGGGGGGTGGGAATAGACAAGATTAGCCACTTGGCAGTGCAGCACTGACTGAGATGGGCTCAGGACAATTAGACTTGGAAAGCAGAAAGAGGTAGATGAGAGACACACTGTAAGGCAAAGGTACTCATTTCAGACAGGCAAAGGCCAGACTCCTGGGGCAGGCTTTGGGCAGCTCCAGCTGCAGAAGCCAAGCAAAGGCAGGGTTGCAGAACTAATTTTGCCTGGATTGGTTTTCCCTGAGGTGTAACTGGGCAAGGGGCAAATGACTCATTCCTGTCTCTGCAGATTCCTGGGAGGATTATGATAGGACATTCCAAGACTCCAACAGACACCTGGTATCCATTACAGACAACCTTGTAGACCTGGCATGGGGGTCAGAGAGGCCCCCAGTGCTAAGTCCACCTATTTATGCCCTCCCGGAAGCATTCACAGGTGATTTTGTAACCCCATTCTTCCCAACTCGTGCCGTCAGGGGTCCCTACCAACATGGGGACTCAGTGCCGCTTTTCTTTTTTCCTGAAAATGTTACTAACCAAAGTACAAATGTAATTGTTCATAAAACTTACCATGTCCCCGAGTCACCTGAAATGCTTGGTTAAAGTGTAGAGTTTTGTCCTCCCCTCTGCTCACAGAGTCCAAAGGTGCTCAGACTATGTTTAGAAAATACTGAAATAAGCAGTATTAGGATTTAAAGACAGGGGTTACAGCAGAAAGAAAGGGAACAAGAGAGTCAAAGAAAGGTTTTGGTTTTTTTTTTTTTTAAAGCTTTCTAGAAACTGAAGAGATTGTTCAGCATTTAAGAGCACTTGGTGCTCTCGAAGAGGACCCGGGTTCCATTCTCTGCACCCATACATGCTGGCTCACAACCATCTCTAACCCCCGTTCCAGGGGAGAATCCACCGCCCTCATCTGGCCTCTGACAGCAGTGCACGAACTTCATGCACTTACATAAACACATGTAAAACACATAAAATTTAAACTTAAAAAAAAACTTAAGCCTTAAGAGTTGTTTGGCAGTGCAGACTGATGTGTACTGAGTCATTTGACTCTTTACCGTAGTGAGGAATTTAGATTTGGGAGATGACTGACTTTGACAGAAGAAGTAAAGAAGTTCAGTGTTGGTCCATGGCACAGAAAAAGGTTCAGGTTTTGACTGGACCACAACAAGAAGGTTAACTGACCCAGGAAATTCTAATGTCTTTAACCATGACCTCATTGGGATTATCTAAATCCATTGCAAAAGATCCGTATGCAGTATGTTTCTTGTAAGTAGTAACTAAGTCCTGCCTGGAGCTAGGGTACTGATTATGAATCAGGGTCTTGGTCACTAACCACCCCTATCTCCCTACAAATTTGAATGAGCCAATGCAGTTGGGTTCCTTGTCACATTGAGCAATCTTTTTCCACACGCAAATTCTTGTATTGTTTCTGGCTTAGAAAAGAATCAAGAAAACAGGGAAATTTCAAAATTGTGGTTATGATGAAAGAAGTAGAAATTGTATCCAATTTTCTTTATCTGTTCCTATGTAACTTGCAGAATCATTCTTTACGTACCTTGACATAGTTTTTTAATATTTTATTTATTATTTTTATTTTATGTGTATGTGTGTATTGCCTGCATGTAGGTAAGTGCACCCGTGTCATGCAATGCCCAAGGAAGACAGAAGAAGCTGTTGGATCCCCTGGAACTGGAGTTATGGACAGTTGTTAGCTGTCATGTGGATGCTGGGATTTGAACCCAGGTCTTCTGCAAGAACAGTCAGTGTTCTTAACCACTGAGCCATCTCTCCAGCCCCCTTGACATAGTTTTTAAAGAAACTTGCTATCTACAAGTATTTGATCATAAATACCACTCATCTTATACAGATTACAAATGTCATATTTGTCCCAGGAAAAGGTGGGGATAAAAGGGAACAATCTACCAGGAATTGGGACAGAATTCACATGGATTTTGTCATTTCCCATAAGCTAGGGGATGCTGAGGCATCACTAGTTTTCAAGGAAAAGCCGTGGAAGCCCAAGAACAGAGTTCAGTTTCAAGAAGCCTAGATAACAGAGATTCTTCCTCTCCAGCCATGTGCAGGTTTTAAAGCTGGGGTGCAGGGGCAGGGATAAAGGAAAGAACATGGAAAGTTGGCTACTCAAACATCAGACCATTTAAGTGTGATTTTGTTTTCTTAAAATGTATTATATTCACAAACCTGTGTTTTTGTGAGTTTTATGTTATGTTGCTGAGGGTTTGGGAGGTTTGGGTTATTTATTTATTTATTTATTTATTTATTTATTTATTTTTATGTACATGTGTTTTTATGTACATGTGCAATGCCCACAGAGGTCAGAAAAGGGCATCAGACCCCCTGGAATTGGAGTTAAAGATGGTTGTTAGCTGCCATGTGGGTGCTGTAAATTAAACCTGGGTACTTGTGTTGTTTTGTTTTGTTTATCTTTTTGAGACAGGGTCTCCTTGTAGCCCTAGCTTGCCTGGAATTCACTATGTAGACCAGGCTAGCCTCAAACTCACAGAGATCCACCTGCTTCTGCCTCCTGAGTGCTGGGATTAAAGGCATGTGCCACCACACCCGGCCCTCTTTTATTTTTGAGGCATAGTTTTACTCTGTGGCCCAGGCTGACCCGGAACTCACTATTTGCCCAAGCTAGCCTCAAATTTATGGTGATCCCCCTGCAGCAGCCTCCCAAGTACTGGGATTACAGGCATGAGCTACTAAATCAGGTGGTGGCACATGTCTTTAATCTGAGCATTTAGGAGGCAGGGGCAGGTAGATCTCTGAGTTCCAGACCAGCCAGAGCTGCATAGTGAGACCCTGTCTCAAACAAAACAAAACAAAACAAAAACCATAATTTTTTAAGTTAAAAGGAGCCAGTGAAAGAAGACTATATATGATTCCATTTATATGGAACTCCCAGCTTTGGCAAATTCACAGAGACGGCAAGTAGATTAGTGAAAAAAGAGGGAACAGGGTGTGACATCTTAATGGGGACAAGGTTTCCTTTTGGGATGTTGAAAACATTTGAGGATGAGGATTAGGTACTGGGGATGGTTGCACAACACCGTGATATACTTAAAGCCAACAGAATCATGTACTTTACATAGGCTAAAAAGATACATTTTACATTAGATCTTTAATAATAATAAAATAAACCTAAAATGTATATCATATTCAAATCTTTGGTTTTAGTTGATTTAGTTTTACTTGTTGGCATACAGTTTGTTAACGGCATTTGATTATTATTGTTCTTTGTATCTGGGCCCAAGTAGGAGTCTTAATACTTATGTCATTTTGACAAAAAAGTTCTTGGTCCTGCCTAGAGAGAAACCCTTTATATGCCTCAGAGGAGGCAGGGATAGAAATAAAAGCTGAAGTCCTGGAACCCAGATACATGCATCTTAGAAAAGACAGTACCAGACACAATGTTACTAAGAGAGTACAGCATCTTAGAAAGGACATGCATCTTAGATACATGCAGATACATGCATCTTAGAAAGGACAGTACCAGATACAATGTTACTAAGAGAGTACAGCATCCATACAATTTAGAAGTGTGGGCTAGGTCATCACACAGATATGGGTTCAAATTCCAGCTCCCCTTCTTTAGCTATGAAATTCCGAGTAACTCACTTTACCTCTCTGAGCCTCAGTTTCGTTATCTGTAAAATGGGACATATAATAATTAAAACAATGCACACAAAGTGCTTAGCCCAGAGTCTGTGAATTATTAATTAATTACTTGAGTTACAACAGGGGAGAGTTGAATATGCCCACAGCCTTTTCCCTTTATCCTTCTAGAGCAGCACTTCTGCTCTTTCTCTATGCTTATTGGTAACTCCCCCCCCCCAGGCCAGGCATGCTCCAGGCATGGTAGTATGCACCTTTAATCCCAGCACTTGGGAGGCAGAGGCAGGTGAATCTCTGTGAGTTTGAGGTCAGCCAGGGGCTACCTCAAAGAGACCCTGTCTCAAAAAAAAAAAAAAGCAACATGAGACTTAGAAAGTACTCAGACACCTCTACATATACTGTTCCATGTGCTTTATAACTGTTAATCCATTTGAGTCATGTAGCAAACCTATTGAGGTAGATACTACTATTATAACCCATCCTCCTCTTACAGATATGCAAAATCTGACACAGGCATCTAGTAATTTGCCCAAGGTCACACCCAGCTAGTAATGGGAAAGCTAGATTAGAAGCCCTGTCTGGGTCCAGGGTCCATATCATTAATGACCACAGAAGTCAGAGTTTGTTTGAAAATAGAGTTCTGCTGCTTTTTGAAACATGGAGAGCTGGGGTAGTTCCGTGGTAGAGCACATGCATGGTCCTGGGTTCCACCCACAGCACCAGACATAAAGGAAAACTATTACACTCAGGGAGATTCCCAGGAACCCCATGCCAAAGACAAGGTTTGTCACTCACATTTCCTTTGGGTTCCTTTCCTTCTAGGGAGCACTTGGCGGGAAAAAGTATCTGTCATCCGAAGCTACATGCAGAACCATACCATGGCTCCAACAGGTCTCCTTCTGTCAGCACTTGATGAGACAGCCTGTGAGTAGGGATTATGGACATGGATAGGTCCTGTGGCTCCCCTCCAAGCCTCCTGGGCCCTGTAGCACGGAGTCTATCCTCAAACAACCATATATCCACCAGTTGCTATGAGGTCTTATAGCCATAGCCTGTGGAAATTCAGAGGGGGAAGAGAACAGCAGCTTGGGGCTGCAGACTTAAGAAGCCAGGGAGCAACAAGCAAATAGGACTAGCCCACAGGCCACTAGAGGAATGGATAGTCCACAGCAGCAGAGTGCTTCTGTCTCCTTAAGGGGAAGAGGGTCAACAAACACCTCCAGCAGGCCTGGCCACCATCCCAGGCCACTCACATTCACAGCTTTGACACCCAGAGTGACCTCACTCTTTCCCCACGTCTGAGGGCTTTCTGCCCGATCTCTAAAGCAGGGCTTCAAACATTCTGGAGACCTACTGATACTGTGTCCTGAATGTTACCTATTTACATTTTTGTAAGGGAGAAATTCATAGCTCTCTTCAGCATGTGAAAGAAGATTGAGAACTATTCAAAGGCAGATTCCATAAGCTGCAGCCAGGACTCTTGAGGCCAAAGAAAAATGTTGGTCAAAAGAGTCCAAAATGCCTGCCCTCCATGCAAAACAGTCTTAAAGAGTCTCACGATTCTTTTCCCAGGGCTCTTCAACCTTCGCAGCAGTGACATCCCCTACAACCCCTTCTTCTACTCCTACACGCTGCTCACGAACTGTTCCATCAGGTACAGCTTGTCCTTGGTTTGTTGTTGTGAATTTCCTCCAACTTCCACACTATCCTTCACCACTGACTCCACCTCAGTATTCAGCCTTCAGGCTGCTCATGAGTTTGGGTACCCACTATAGCAGACTTCTCTAGGAGACCTCCCATTGGCTGTTCCTGACCTCTTCACTCTGGTCCCAGTGGACCCAAATCTGGTCCCTTGACTCTCTATGCTGGTTTTCTGTGACCTTTAGAACAAAAGAACTGTGTGGGCATCTTTGTGTTGTTCTTAGAAGATAATCAGGACCTTCTGGGACTTCCTTCTCCACCTAGGTTGTTTGTAAACAAGAGCCGCTTTAGCCCTGAGACGCTGCAGTACTTGAATACAAACTGCACAGGCCCATTGTGTGTACAACTCGAAGACTACAGCCAAGTCCGTGACAGTGTGCAAGCCTATGCCTCGGGCAATGTGAAGATCTGGATTGGGCTCAGCTATACCACCTATGGACTCTATGAAGTGATACCCAAGGTGGGTTTGCCAGTCCCTGACCTGCCCCTGCTCCAGGTACACCAAGTATCAACTTAAAATGAGATTCCTTATCCATTCAGCCAGTTGATTAGTCAGCACATGTGCAGCATGTTCCCTTCTATGCCTCACTAAGACACGACAGAGGAGGAGGTCTGTCCACAGAGCCAGCACAGTTTTTTAAGGAGGCTAGAAAGAATACAACCAGAGGCTAGCAGAGGCTTTAGAGTCAGCCAAACCTGATACTGATTCCGGCTCTTTTACTAACTGACCATACAGTAACAGGTGAGTGGCTCAGCCACTATAGAACTCTATTTTCTAAATTCTTTATTTATTATTTATTTTTATGTGTATGAGTGTTATGTGTGCATATATGTAAGTGCATCCATGTTCGTGCAATACGCACAGAAGCCAGAAAATGTTGGATCCTCTGGAACTAGAGTTATGGATGATTGTTAGCTGCCATGTGGGTGCTGGGAACGGAACCAGGGTCTTCTGCAAGAGCAAACAATGCTCTTAACTGCTGAGACATCTCTCAGGCCCTAGATCTCTGTTTTTTAAAATAGCATTAGAGCTGGGTATAGTTGAACACATCTTTAATCCCAGAGGCAGGAGGATCTCTCTGAGATCAAGGCCAACTTGGTCTATATAGCAAGTTCCAGGCCAGCTGGGGCTACAAAGATGTCCTATTTCAAATGAATAAAATAAAATAAGAGTTGCTGTGAAATTTCAAAGAAATAGTACCCCAAAGTCCAGTGACTGGTATAGTTGGCACTCAGGGAATACTAATCATTATACATATAAGAACCTTATACCATCACAAGAGCCATGGAAGCTCTGAGTCATGCCAAATTGCAGGTATCAGGACAATGTTCATCAAGGAAGCCTTCCTGGAATGCAGGAGGGAGGGCTCAGCTGCATGTGGAAGATTAGGAAAGACACACACAGCCAGAGAGCACCCAAAGAGAGGGCATGGCTGTGACAACAGCAAGTCATACAGTCTCACCTCAGCTAGGACTTCCTCCTTGTCCTTTATAAACACTGCTGTTCCCTGGACGGTGTTTCAAGTCCTCCTTTTGCTCCCTGCTCCCAACAGGAGAAACTTGTGAAAAGCAGCTACTCCCCAGTGATGGAAATCAAGGCTGTGAAGAACAGCAAGGAGCAGGCCCTCCTGAAGGCCAGCCATGTAAGTCCAGGCAGAGGGCCTCCATGCACTTTTGGGAGCTCTGTCTGATGGGATGGCAAGAAATCCTTCCAGAGGCACCTGAGGAAGACCCTTGGTGAAAGCAGGGAACACACACCAAATATCAATACTAATATCTGTTTATATATGGTGATATATATTACTTTGAGCACCACCTAGGTTAAATATATATTAGCTATAATGATTTCCTCGCCTGGCAAAGGATGGCTTACTTTTTAGAATATTTTTGTTAACATTAGGATAACAGACTTCATTTTGAAAGAATTTTTTTTGGAGAAATTGTGTGTGTGTGTGTGTGTGTGTGTGTGTGTGTGTGTGTGTATGTGTGTTCCTTGATGTCGTTCCACCTTATTTTTTAAATGAATATTTTATTGAATTTTTGTGCATTTCATACAATACATCTTAATATTTAGACACCCTTCCCCTATCTTAGCCCACCCCCATAGCCTGCCCGCTGGATTTCATGCATTCTGTCATATACCTTAAAAACCTATCTGGTCAACTTTAGTGTACCCAAATGTCCCTCGGTGTGGTGTGTGTTCATCCACTGGAGCCTGTTCGTGCTATCTAGCATCACGCCCTTAAAGAAGACCAACTCTCCCTCACCAAGAATTGATTGGCTGCCTATAGTTCCTTGACTAAGGTTGGGGTCTCCTGTCCATTCTTAGGGAATTTTTTTAACATACACTGCTGTAGAGAAAATTACCCTAAGATTCCCTATGTCCCCATTACCCAGTTTGAGTAATCATCAAGTCATGGCCAGTGTTTCATCTATAACCCCCAATGCATGACCTCCACTTCCACCCCTTTCTGGTGGACTATTTTATTTTATTTTCAGTTTTTATTTATTTTTATTTTGTGTGTATGAGTGTCTTGCCTAGATGAATTTAAATGCACCACTTGCATGCAATGCCCATGGAGACCAGAAGAGGGCGTAGGATCCCCTGGAACTGGAGTTACAGACAGTTGTTAGCTGCCATGTGGGTGCTGGGAACTGAACCCCAGTCCTCTGCAACTGCTGAGCCTTCTTTCCAGCCCTCGTGAATTATTTTAAAGCAAATCCCACATACCATTTCTGCTGTCAACATTTAAGTATTTCTAAATTAAAAATGCTTTTAAAAACATGACCACACTATGATCAGATATAAACATTAACGAAAATCCTTTATATCCAATAGCCAGGCAGACCCTCCTGATTTTAGAGTGCTCAATCCCAGGGCAGCCATCTGATCTTCCCTAAGTGAGGAGGCTGCCACTCTGGCCTACCTCAGCCCCTGCTTGCTTCCTGCTCCAGGTGCGGGATGCTGTGGCTGTGATCCGGTACTTAGTCTGGCTGGAGAAGAACGTGCCTTTGGGCACGGTGGACGAGTTTTCTGGGGCAGAGCTCCTGAATGAGTTCCGAAGGTACAGGACTATCTTTCGGTGTGGGGGTGGGGAAGTGAGGAGTAATTAGTCCCCTTCAGAGGAAGAAAGAGCCCTGCTTGTTTTGGAAATGGAATTGACAGGTTCTTGGGTGGTCTAGGAGCCACTCAGGGGGTGTTGGAAGACATTCCCCAGCCCTGCTGAAAGCGACGGCAGCTCAACAGCACCCCCTAGCGTCTTCCTCAGATACAGCTCGCTCACACTGGGAGAGGCTGGCTCAGGCCAGTGGGCCCCTTGGACCACTTGAGAGTTTCGGTAGGTTTGTGGTATAGTCTAGGGTTCAGGTGCAGGATGTAGCCCATGGAGAACTACCTTTCTTCCCTTCTACCTGTAAAATGGAGGCAGAGGGGGAAGAATCGGTGTCCACAGTCTAACGTTCACTGTTCTTGAGTGAGCTCTATTGAACGACAGGGCAAAGCTGAGGTAAGTGGAACCAGGTAGGGCTGTGCGAGGCAAATGGAGTGAGACTGTGGTGAAGGCAGTTGGGCTTTCATTTGTTCTGTTGAGCTATCTCTAGGCAGAGCTTAGTCCCTTGACCATTCACTGGCTATTCCTTGCCCTGCCCTGTCTAGTAAAGAAGACTTCTCTTCTGGACCCAGTTTTGAAACCATCTCTGCTAGTGGCCTGAATGCTGCCCTGGCTCATTACAGGTACTTCATGATAAAGAATTTTCTAGAGTTCTTGTGGGCAGGGGATCTGTTTGTAGGTTCACAGAGAATAAAGTGGGAAGAGAATACTCTGAACTTTGAGTCCACATTTAGGATTTGAGGCTTTTGCATTGTTAGGGGAGGTGGTCACCTGCAGTTGGGAATCTCTTTATCTGTATGCGGGTTGCCAGCATGTAAGCACACCGATGCATGCAATGCCGGTGAAGGCCAGAAGAGGGAGTCAGATTCCCTAGAGCTGGAATTTCAGGTGGTTTTTAGCTGCCATATGGGTGCTGGGAACCCAACCATGGTTACGAGCAGTCAGTGTTTATAACCACTGAGTCATCTCTCCAGCCTCCAGCCTGAGTGGGCTTTTTTCCCCCAAGAGGCTGGGACTTTGTGTTTGGGTGCTGAGGTCTGCAAGAGAAGCACAGATGCGATTAGAAGATTTTATTTGACTTTCTGTGTTATTTATGTTTTCTATTTATTTCAAGACAGTTCTCTTTTTTTGAGACAGAGTCTCATGTAGCCCAGGCTAGCCTCAAACTTACTATGTAGCCAAGACTGGACCTGATCTCTTGATCCTCCTGCCTCAACCTCCTAAGTCCTAGGATTATAGGTGTGCACCAGCATACCTCGCTTAAGATAAGGCTTTGCTTTGGAACTCAGACTGGCCAGGAAATTGTGATTCTCCTGCCTTGGCTTCCCAAGTACTGGGATTACAAGGCATGAATGCCATGCCAAACTCTATGTTAGCTAATTTTTTTTTAAGTTCATGAGACCGCACAGACAAAAACCTGCTCACTCTGCTTCTACCAACCCCACAGTAAGTCCCAAATACAAGTTAGCCAGATGCTTGGCCCCACAAAAAACAAAATGCTATAGGCCTGCCTGATAAAATTCAGATGGCCAAGTTGACCAGATGCATCAGGTTGGCATGACAGGAAAGGGTCAGATGTCCCTCCAAAGAAAGATGTGGCATGTCTCAGAACTCCCCTGGTGCCTCCCAAGCCTTGCCAACAAAAGCTAGAGAGTGGCAAAGTAGGTATTCCTCATTCATGTAAAATCTTGCCCTCCAGCCCTACCCTTAAAGTCCCTTTCCTTCCTGTGCCCTGGCTCATTGGGGCCCTCGTAGATGCATCAGGAAGTTAGGGACAGACAGTCCAGGCCCAGCTCCTCCCTGTTTTTCCGTGGGGCCTCCCACAAGTCTCTTGGCCTCTGTGGGTCTGTTCTCTTTACCTAAGTAGCATGGCCTCTGAAACTCTCTTCACTCCCCTCCTTGAGGAACAAGGTCTTATGTGGCCAAATGGATAAACAGAAGTGTGATGAGGGCAGCAGCTGCAGCAGGAGCTAAGTGCTTTCCAAGGGTCCTTTGGGAGATTGTGATTTCCCCAGAGCAGAGAGCCTGGAAGGCTGGCCCCAGCAAGCCAGGAGGGAGATTCTCTGTTTCTCCTCAGTGCCCACCCACACGCCTACCCTGTGTGCCCAGCGCAGGGTTCAGATTCTTCCCTCTCAGTGTTTACTCTCCTTCCCAGCCCAACCAAGGAGCTGCACCGTAAGCTGTCCTCAGATGAGATGTACCTGGTGGATTCTGGGGGACAGTACTGGTAGGTACACCCCATCCTGAACTGTCTCAGCTATTAGCTCACACATCCTGTGGCTTCTAAAAGCAGGCTGAAGCTGTCCTTTCCTGGACCATGGGCCTTCTTCATCTGAGAGAGCAGGGACCTGTGCTGAAGAAGCCCTGGGTAGCCATCACATGTTCGCATTGTGGGGTCCCTCCACAGTGTATCGGAATAATGGTGGCACCCACGCAGCACCTGTGTGAAAATTAGGAAAAGACTCCCCTGGCTCAAGTAATTTAAGTCTGCAAATTATTACAACAGCTCTGTCTGGCTGCACAAACATACATACCCATAATCTCACCCACTCATGCAAGCCCGGTACATGGCCTACATGTCCTCAAAGCCATGTGTATGTCTCAGCCACCCTCTTTCCCTATGGCAAGATGACTGACCATGTCAGGTTGGAGATGAGGGCAGATGAGAGACACAACCATTTAGATGTGTTTCTTCTGTACAGTACACAACCTAAACACTTGGATGTGACAGCCATGCTAACTGTAGTCCTTCCAGATGTGTGGCTAATCACTCACAGTTGTGCTGAACTGAGAGCGAGGAGCTAGGCGTGCTTCAGCAGCTTTCCCAGCCTTTTTCCTGGGGAAAGGGTGAATGTGCTAAAGACACAGGCTGTTCATTTCTTCCTAGCACAGCTCACGGGGAAGCCAGAATGCCTTGTGCTCAGCTTAGCAGACTGTACTTATCACCAGTTTGATGCTGTGTGTACTTGAGATGGCCGCAAAGAGGAAGTGAATTTGTGGGGGTGTGTTGAGTTGGGGCATGCTCAGAGGAGGGTGAGGCAGGGAAATAGTCACCTCACTTCCTCTTCTCCCCTAAGAAAGAAGCTCCCCACACCCCATGACCTACTCCCAAGGAACCCTAGAGCACTGGAACCCTTTCTCTGTGCCTCCCTGGTGAACGTTGTGTGCTCAGGGACCAGCTCAGCATGTGGAGGGGAACCACTTATAGCGACTGATTGGGAGTCAGACCTGCTGGCTCTGAGAGAACTTCACCTTACTGGAACTCTGAGTAAATCACTGAGCCAGAGCCATACTAGTAATGGAGAGCACCATGCAGTCAGAATGTGTCCTGTTCTCCAACTCCTGGATGACTTTATCAAGCCTTAAAGAGGGAGACTTCACAGCGTCATGGGTTCTGTGTCCTCATCTATAAGGAAGCCTGCTCTGCCGGCCTCCATGTCTCCATAGGACATGAAGAAGTGTCCTATGGATGGTAAATAACTGTGACCATGGGAGTGTTAGGGTAATGCCACCTCTCTGAACCTTGGTCTCCCCATCTTAAAACAACAAAAAAGAAGCAATTCCTTGCAGTCTCCTAGGAAACCATGAAGAAGCCTTGCTTTTAAGTCTAGACTGACTTAAGGACACCCAGAGCTACAAAATTGCCAAAATGAGTAGGATGGGGGAGGAGTATATGTGGGAGTACCACATTTGTCCAAGAACATAATGGCTCTTGCCTTGAGAGCTCCGCTGGGCCCTTTTGGTGCATGGATGCTTAAGGCACAATTACAGTGATCACTATCTCCATTTTCCCTCCTCCTTTCCCTTCCTTCCATCCCCTCCCCTCCCCTCCCCTCCTCTCCTCTTCTCTTCAATCTCACAATGTAGCCCTTGCTTTCACAATCTTTTTGCCTGAGCCTCCTGAGTGCTGGGATTTAGAGGCCTGCACCACCATGCCTGGCTCTCCATCTTCCTTTTGCTTTCCACCTGGCCCGATCCCAGCCCTGTCACCTGAACCCCAGTAGAAACAAACAGTAGAAAATGCACAGGAAGGACATGGCCCCGGCCCTTCCTCCCAAGTGTTCAGCAGAGAGGGATGTATTGGTTTCCCTTCTTTACAGGGACGGGACCACAGACATTACCAGAACAGTCCACTGGGGTACCCCCACTGCCTTCCAAAAGGTAAGTACTGGACCGTAAATTCCCCCCTGCAGCTCCTCCAAGAGTCCCTTCACCAAGAGTCCTTTCATTTGAAAGGGTAAAACTAAGGTAAGGACCAGAGAGGTTACATAGTTTGCCCAAAGTCACAGAAGTAATTGCCAGGAAAGTGAGAGCAAGTTCAAGCTACCAGTAAGCCTCAGGCCAGGCCTATCCTCATGTCATTTCAGTCTGTGAGTATACAGACATTTCTTCTGTGCCATCCATGTCTCCAGCCTGTGCTTTGCACAAAGGAGAGAAAGGTATTCCTAGTGGAGGAAAATGGCAAAGGGCATCGCAGAGGTGTGAAGGAGCTCCAGCTGCTTAGAAAACAGGGAAGGAGAGCTGCTCAGCTAGGATGGAGCTGGGACACTGGCTGACGAAGGGCGGGACAGAAAGCTGCTTTTATGTACTCAGCCAGCAGGCTATGAGTCAGACATTGGGCTAGAAACAGAGAGCGAGGCCCTATGCAGGCCTCCAGGAGCTCATGGTTTAGCAAGTTGAGGAGTCTGCTTCCTCAGAGCACCAGATGGCAAGCCTGTGCAGGTGTGTGTAGAAGGGCAGTGACCACATGGCCACCAGCAGTGACCAAAACAGGCTACCACTGCCCGCTTCCCTACCCCAACAGGAAGCCTCACCTACCACATGATCAGGCCTAACCCAAACTTCAGGTCTTACGAAAACTAGAGGAGTGGGGCCTGGCATGGTAGCACACGCCTTTAATCCCAGCACTTAGGAGGCAGAGGCAGGCGGATCTTTGTGAGTTCGAGGCAAGCGTGGTCTACATAGTGAGTTCCAGGACAGCTGGGGCTACAGGGAGACCCTGTCTCAAGAAGACAAAAAAAAAAAAAAAAAGAGGCAGAGGCAGGTAGACAGGCAGATCTCTGTGAGTTTAAGGCCAGCCTGGTCTACATAGTGAGTTCCAGGCCAGCTAGGGCTACGGGGAGAACCTGTCTCAAAAAGACCAAAAAAGAAAAAATAGGTAGAGGAAGGTGCCACGGCATGGGGGCACACACTGGGGAGGTGGAGGCAGGAGAATCATCTGTTCAAGGCCAACCTTGGCGACATAGGAAGTTGATGGCCTACCTGAACTATAATCAGGGGCAGAGGAGAAACAGGTTTAACTTTGCCTGAGTATTTGCTCTCTGCCTTGTGTTCAGTGTCAGTCTACCTTATCCTACAACCTTAGGAAATAGGCACTGTTAGTATCTCATTACAGATGAAGAAACTGAGGTACAGAGATGTAAAAGAGGATTCCAGCCAGGGACTCTGCCTGCCACTCTGTATAGTCCCTCTACAATCATGTCCTCAGCACATGGTAATGGCCCATGGAGTTTCCAAAGACAACTATATGGCGCCAACCCCAGCTCTGGGGACACCTTCCTCCCAGCTTCCTATGGCCATCCATCTTTCAAAACCTGAGTGACCACACATGAGAGTGTGTCTCCCGATACCCTGGGTCTGAGCCTCTACTCCTGTTTGCTTCTAGGCCAAGCAGCCAGAAACTCCCTGGTTCCTCCTCCTATTTTCCACATCACCTTTGCCTCTTTCTCCACCAGGAAGCATATACACGCGTGTTAATGGGAAGCATAGATCTATCCAGACTTGTCTTTCCTGCTTTTACATCAGGTGGGTTTCAGAAGCTTAGGCTCTGATTTTATAAGACTCAGATTGCCACCCTGGGAGGCTAGTGGGACATTCCCTTTCCTCACGTTTATGAGAAAATCTGCCAGAGAGAGAGAGAGAGAGAGAGAGAGAGAGAGAGAGAGAGAGAGATTGATTTACCCAAGGTGCTGCAGAGGGTTAGTGGGAAGTCAGGCCTTGCATCCAGGTCCCCTGCCTCCTAATGTAGGGGAAGCCAATATGGGCTGCAGAAGTCATGGAAGATACTTGGAAGAAGTCATGGTGAAAATGCTAAGCCTTAACTAGTGGGGAGAAATTTCAGTAGAATCAATAGTCCAGATACTGTGTCCAATATGTAGAGTGCTGGAGATAGTGGGGGTCTGGGCTAGCCAGAGAGCTACTCACTGACTTCATCCATCAGAGGACTCTGTCCTACCCCAGTGTCCTCGCAAGAGCCCCTGTCCTCAGATACAACCCTGGCAGTTGAGCATGAAGAGCCAAGGAGAACAGTCTGGGTCCAGCCAACTGAGCAGGAGCAATCCCTTTTCCCCTCCAGGGAGAATAATGGACGCTTTTGCCCGCAGAGCCCTGTGGGAGGTTGGGCTCAATTATGGTCATGGAACAGGACATGGCATTGGCAATTTCCTCTGTGTACATGAGTGTAAGTATCTTCTGAGCCCCTGCTCAAGTTCTCCCTTGTCTGATACCTTCTTATGAGACACAGCCTTACACAGGCATGGAGATTACCAACCTACCATGATACATGATCTACCCAAGGTCACCCAGATTGTGGGAAGTGATACTCCATGGGCTAGGTGAGGAATGCTCACAGCTGGTATTCCAGAGAGAGAACAAAGACCTATGACAAGCAGCATAGACCCCAGAGAGATAAAAGCCAAAGCCTATCTGGTGAGTGCTAGCTCACTTCTAGAGATGCCTAGGGACTGTCCTTCCAGTTACCTGTTCTCTCCTAGAACCTGCTCGCTTCCAAGCTGGTAAGATAGAGAGCTGACACCATGCTTATGTATCTTCCTTTCCAGGGCCAGTGGGATTCCAGTATAACAACATTGCCATGGTCAAGGGCATGTTCACTTCCATTGGTATGGCTCTTGTGCCCCTCTACCCCACCACCCCATCCCAGTGTGGAGTTATCTGAGAGTACAGTCAGGTGTACCCATCTTTTCAGCACATGCTGAGCACAGGTTTAGTCAAGCTCTACCATTGCACTCTCCCCCAACTCCAACCCCAAATGGCTTAACCCAACCTCCCTGTACCCATATCCTCTCTTTCTGCTATTTTTGGGGGATTTTTAAATTTTTTATTTTTATGTGTATATGTGTATCACCTGCAGGTAGGTGCACCCATATTGTACAATGCCCTGCAGAGGTCATTGGTCCTGGAACTGGAGTTATAGATGGTTGTTAGCTGCCATGTAAGTGCTGGGAATCAAACCCAGGTCCTCTACAAGAGCAGCCAGTGCTCTTAACCAGTGAACTATCTCTCCGGTGCCCTGTTTTGGTTTTTTGAGACCATCACATGCAGCCTAGATTCCCTTTGAACTCTATATAGCCAAAGCTGGCCTTGACCTCCTGATCCTTCTGCCTCCACCTCTCCAGGGCCGAGAGTACAAACATGTGCCACCATGCCTGGCTTTTCATACTTTCTTTTTATCCCTGTGAGCTGGTTTGCAGGTGTACATCCAGACTGTGAAGTTGCCGATCAAATGCTGGGGTAACAGAACAATAGGCTATAAGGGAGGGAGAGTGAAGCTAAATCATGCCAGAGGGGATCTGAGGCCTGGCAAACTTGACATCTCACAGAGCCAATAGCCCCAGGCAGCCAGGCCCTGCAATTACTTGTTCATTGGTATACGAAGCCTGGCTGTGGGTCACCACCACCACCATCACCACCACCATTGCTTAATGTTTTCAACATCTTTTTGTATGTCTCTCAGAACCTGGCTACTACCAGGATGGAGAATTTGGAATCCGTCTTGAAGATGTGGCCCTTGTGGTGGAAGCAAAGACCAAGGTAAGCTGGATGTGGTGGCGCACGCCTTTAATCCCACCACTGGGGAGGCAGAGGCAGGTGGATCTCTGTGAGTTTGAGGCCAGCCTGTTCTACATAGTGAGTTCCAGGTCCATTGGGGCTATAGGGAGACCCTGTCTCAAAAACAACAACAACAACAAAAAGACCAAGGTAAAACTCCATAGGCTAGACATGTGAATAGTATGGTTGTGACACTGGAATGAATGGCAGCGAGGAAGGCTAAAGAGGAAAGGCATTTGATGTGCAAGCATGGACTTTTTTGGAGTCTTACTCAGATCCTTAGGAATTCTGTAAATCAGTTTCTCAAGCTACATGGTAGAATCATCTGGGAAGCAAATAATCACCAGGGGAGCTTGTTAGAAATAAAGATTTGATATTATAGCAACCAACAAGATGAAATACCTAGATATAAACTTTAAAAGACTTGCACAGAGAAGCACTCTGCTAAGGGACATAAAAAAGATTTAAGTAAATGGTGCTCTCTGGGAAGAAGCCTTGCTATGATGAAGATGTCATTCTCCTTAAATTAATCTGTAAATTCAAGACAACCTCAATTTCACTGTTAAGTGGATCCTTTTGAAACTTCGCCAAGTGACAGTAAAGTTTATTTGCGAAAATAAACATGCAAAGTAGCTAAGTAGTAGGTTAAAAGATTGAAAGCTAGAAGAGCAATAAGGTAAACTAGCATTATCAGATGTTCATACAAACTATCCTAACAAAACCAGGGTAGCAGTGGAGATGACATAGACAGCAGGAATAATGAGGCAGAATAGTCCACAAGCAAACCCTCTAATTCACATAAACATGGGAAATCCACTTCCAATAAAGTTGCTGTAGGGAAGAGAGAAATCATTCAACAAATGGGCAGGATAATGAATGGCTAGTCATTGCAGAGAGATTTTAAAAAATCACTATTACACCAAATAGAGTTCCACATGGATCAAGGGGTTTGGTATCATACAGTCATTACGTTTTTGTACATGCGTATCATGTACTTGAGCGCATCTATGCACCCCGTAACCTTTTCATGACTCCTCCCTCCTACTACCAGATGAACAAAAGTTTTATGATGAATAATAAAATCATTAAAAGCCTACAAGAAAGCCCATATGGATTCATTTATAATCCCAAGTAGAAAAGGACCTTCCTATAAAAGACCCAGAAGCCATGAAGAAAAAGGTCCATAACCAAATAGAAAAAAATGTCTGCATGAAAAAGCAAAATCAAAAGATCTGTTTCAAGTGTAGAACATACAACAAAGAAACCTTAATTAGCCTTAATTTTACTGTGAACTATTACAAGTCAAACTCTTACAAAATCAAAATTGGGTAAGATGGGGGGAAAACGGGCAAAGGAAAAGAAAAGGTCGTTCCCTAAAATCAACATAAAGCAGTGCATGTGAAAAGACACACGCCTCCATTTTTAAACATACATAAATCAAAAAAAGCAATAGACTATCATGGGTCACTTATCAGATTAGTAAGAATTAAACAATACCCCATGATGGTGCGTATGCGCCATAATAAACGCTCTCACACTATGGGAAGAAGTACGCATTGGCGCATTCTGGAGAGCAGTCTGATGATACCTATCAAAATACCTACTAAAGTTCCTGTGCCTTTGTCTCAGCTGTCTCTCCACCAGATATCTATCATTATGATATAGCTCCAAAAGTTCATCAAGATGTTTCTAGAGTGTTATTTTGACTTTCTACAGTGCTATTGATTTGTACCATTGATAGTAATAATAAAAAGTTACAATCAATCCAAAAATCCATGAGTGATTAAGTAAACCATGAGTCCTCATACTTTGGACTCTTACACAGCCCTTAAAAAGAATGAGGTCTACGCTGTGCTAGCATTCCCATAGGTTACTAATAAGAGGAGAGGAAGGTACAAAAAGTGTGTATGGTAGGAACCACTTTGTTCAACTTTTAAAATTATATACATATATAGGTATATACACTTTGTGTGCCTGAAATATTTTCAAGAAGGAAACCTGGCAGGGAGTAGACCTTCCACTTTGTGGTATTTCCGTTTCCTAAACATAAACATACAGGATCACTCTGGGAGATAGAAATTATGGGAGGTTTTTTTCTTCACCTATTTACTTGTATCTAGAGATAGATGAATCACCGAAGAAACACATAGATCAGGCTGGGGATGTTGCGTGATTGTAGCCCTGGATTCCCTTATGTACATAGTGAGTTCAAGGACAGCCTGGGCTACATGAGACAGTGTCAGAAAGGGGTTGGGGGGGAGAATGAGAGAGAGAGAGGTCTCATAACTTATTTCTAAATTATTTAAATGTAAGTTCGGAAGGCCTGCCCTAGAGATTCTGCCTCCAGTAGGTGTTGGAGGTAGTCCTTGCAACCCAAATACCTAGTATACTCCTCATATGCTTAAGAAGTAGGTGTAAGTCTAGTCTAAATTTCAGGAATTAGGAAGGAAGCGACAAGGTGGGCTGGTAAGTAGTAGCCAGAGGAGTGGCCAAAAAAAGGAACTCTGGAAGATTCAGGCCTAGCTAGAGCATCCAGAGTTGGCAAGGATCAGTTCCCTGCATCCCTGGCTCTTAAGTAGAGTGCTCCTTTGCTCTCTTCAACCAGTTCCTCAGCCTCCCTCACTTTCCTGCTTTCTTACCTTCTCTTTGGCCTTTCAGTATCCAGGGACCTACCTGACTTTTAAAATAGTATCCTTTGTGCCCTATGACCGAAACCTCATCGATGTCAGCCTGCTATCTCCAGAACAGGTAAAACGTCACTCAATATTGCCTACCTGTCAGCCTATGAATGACTGCCTTCCTACTACCCTAAGCCTTTCCCATTTCTACTCCCCCCCAGCCCAAGACCTTCTTTTGACCTTCACCAGGAGGGTTCACATGGTGACACCATAGGTACTCACTGGGGTATATTTCTGTAGCTTGTCAGAGACCCTGACGCTTCTAGGACTTTCCAGTTAGACCAACCTGCCCAACCTCAGGTATTGAACTCAGGGGGAGTCTGGAACTGGGTCTCTGAGATTTGTCACTAAAAGGCCCAGAAAGATAATCCATTCCTTCCCCACTCTGGGCCTCGGTCTCCTCTTTTGTAAAATAGGGATACCTACCCTGCTTACTTTTACTCCTGGATCAGAAATCCACCAACCTCCTGTCCATGAACATCACTATGACATTAAGCAACCACCATAGAGCACTGCTTCTGGAAAGCCCCAGAAAATACCGGAAGCCTGATAGTGGCTGGGTCCCTGGTCCAATGTACAGTTAAGAGTACCATAGTAGGGGACAAGATGGGTACCAAGACCTTATCTTTGGTGGCTTAGTACAAGCCCTCTTGCCTTTGCAGCTCCAGTACCTGAATCACTACTACCAGACCATCCGTGAAACAGTGGGCCCGGAGCTGCAGCGTCGCCAGCTGCTGGAGGAGTTTGCATGGCTGCAGAAGCACACAGAGCCCCTGTCAGCCAGAGCCTCTCTTAGCACATCCTTGACCTCTATGTGGGTAGCCTCCACTCTTGCCATCCTCAGCTGGAATAGCTAGAGGCTCCCAACTCCCCTGCTGACCCCTACCTGGATGTGAGACTCAGTTGCTCTTGCTCAGATCTTCTCCCCTGTGTCATTCATGTCCCAAGAACCTGTGTGACCCATCACCTTAAAATCATTGTCTTCAGCTTCCTCCAGAACCAGATCGCAGGCAGCATATGCCCTCATTCTCCTAGACCTGGAAACCTCACCTTGGGTTCCCAACCCTAGGCCCTGGGATAGCAGAGCCACGTAGCCTGCTACAGAGAGACCACCACTCTCCCAAAATAAAAGACTCATAGGGCAATGCCCCTACTCACTGGGCCTCATGGCCCACACAGAGCCCCACCCTATCACCACACGTCAGAAAGGACCAGAGTTGTTCCCATCCACATGGGCTCCTAATTTCTTAAGTCTGTCTCTGACCACCTTTACTTGCCCCCAGCCCCATAGTGGCCTCCTGACTACAACCTGTGGCCTTGAAGAAACAGGGTTCCCTCCAGCCTGCCTGCTGTACCTGTAGAGAGAAGGTGCCTAAGTCTTCTGGTTATAGATGACCACCCTAACATTGAGGAGAAAAGATGAGTGGGGGGCCAGGGAGAGCCTGGAGCTGGAAACCTTAGTCAGGGACGTGCATCAGTTCTGCCCTGTGAAAAGCAACAGCACGAAGAACTGAGGCATAGGACTTTGTGCAGGAGGGAGAATGTGCTCTGGAACATGAAGAACCTCCCTGTCTCAGGAATCCTTTTAAGAGCCCAAGGTGCAGCTACCATGACAACATAATCAAAGCCTCTCAAATCTTTGGAGAACCCTTAACCTTGTGTGGGAAGAGTCTGGTTTCCCCATTGTATAGATAGGAAAACTAGGCTTCAGACAGAAGGTGAGTCTTGCCTGAGGATACTCAGCACTCAGTTGGAAGATGGGGTTAGGAAAAGGGCTTAAGAAATGCTGGGGCCATTATGAGCTAGTAGTGCAGCTTCCGTGCCAAGTCTCTTAGCCTACTTCCCAGCCACTGCCTCATTTGCTGGGTCCACTGCCATTGGGTTTTCTCTGGCCTGCCCTTGGCCAGCCGTTAGCCACCTGGGCTCACATCCTGCTAGATTCTTAAAACAGTTTTTGCAAAGACACCTTCCTCTGGTTTTGCATTGTATCTGTTATTGCTGTGTTGCTGTAGGCTGCTGGTACCTGTGGCTTTTGTGGTAGAGGAGGAAGAGAAGAGGCTGAGATGGGGGCAGGGATGTGAGGCTCTTCGAACCTCCGTAGGGAAACACACGTAAGCTTGAGAGTGTGCATGTGAACATGTGTGCGTGCATGCATGTGCATGCGCCTACCTGTGTGTGTGTGTGTGTGTGCGCGCGTGCATGCGCGTGCACGTGTACTTGTTTGTGCTCGTGTGCATGCGCTCTATGCCCAGCCAGTCACCTCCACCCTGTGCTAAGGGTGTTATGACTTTGTGAAGGGGACAGAGATGGGGCCATCACAGCTTGGGAACTTGTTAAGTGTGGTTCACAAAGTTGGGGCTAGCACCTTTGTCTCAAGAGGGCACAGTGCAGGTGAGAACCAAGGCTTCAGGGACCAGGTGTTTAAGCACCAGGCCCAGAGGTTTCCTGAGTTGGGTCAATAAGGCCTAATTTGTGTAAAATGATGCATGGGGGCTGGAGAGATATCTGGGAAGATAGTTAAAGCGCTTGCTACACAAGCATGAGGACCAGAGTTCTGATCTCCAGAAATTCACATTAAGTATTAGGTGGACATGGGGGTTCGCCTGTATAATTCGGGAGACTGGATCCCCAGAACAAGCTGGCTTGCAAGACTAGCGATATAGTTGAGCTCTGGGTTTGATTGGGAGACCTTGACTCAATGAATAAAGTAGAAGAGCCCCAGAGGATGATTCCTGATATTAATATCCCAATATCAATCTCCTGCCTCCAGACACACACACACATACACACACACACACACACACACACACACACGTGTGCAAAAATGCAGTTATGTATGATGGTCACCACCACCCAAGTTGACATCCAAATGCCTCAGCCCTTACCTGCCCTCACTGAGACAGGTGAACCTGTCTGAGGGATCATTTGCTTTCTCACCTGCCCCCTCACCTGCTTACCCCACTGAGTTACCAATAAGATCAAAGTCCTCATCCTCATGACCACCATCACTGTGTGTTGTGTACTGCTGTGCAGAAAGCTTTGCATGCATTTTTTTCATATTATCCCCTCAACCTATGAGAAGGCACTGGTGCTTTTCTCATTCAGTAAGTGAGGAAACTGAGGCCTTTAGAGATTGGAGAGAAACCAACTTGCTCACGGTTACTTTTTATAACAAGTCAATGAATAAAGTAGAATTCATAGCAGTCAGATGACTCAAAAACCCACTCTCTGATATAAAGGAAATGGGTGTGACTCTCCTGATTTTCTGGATGAGAACACTGAGGCTCTGTGGGGCTCACACAGCTGAGGAAAAGCACATTCCACACCACCCTGCTTCCCAGGGCTCATCTACCCAGGGCCTATATCTGTGCAGGGCTCTCACAGTCATGGGTACTGACCAAGACCCATTTGCAAGCCTTTCATGCCCGAGGGAGCTCAGTGTTTACCTTTCTTCTCTTCAGGCCACAACCGAGGACTCCATCTAGTCTCCTCTGTACAATTTAGCTTTCCCTTGCCCCCATCTGTGGCCTTGAGATTAAGAATCGTGCCCCAGATGCATGGCTGCAGAAGGGCTCCAGCCAGCCCCACTCTGCCATCCCCTGGGACCTGAGGAGGGCTGGCACTAACTGTTCCCGTTTAAGGGCTTCACTGTGGGTTAGGCACAGAGACATCTGAGGCACACACAGTGGGACTGACCCATGTAGGTGCTTGTGTGACATCATTAGGAATTGAAGATTCCTCCCTCTTGAGCCCTGGTCCTCTGTTTTTTCATTGGAAGATAGACCTTGCCATACTTCTCCTGACCAGTTTTGTCACTGTGGAGCAGGCCATGTGGACAGGACTCTATTCCTCGGAGTTAGGTTTCTGAGGTTCTAGCTTTAGTTGTGCTAGCTGTGAGGCCTTGGGCAAGTCCCTTCAGCTCTGTAGCCATCAGATATCCCTTCTGTAAACTACCCATACTGACTTCCTGGTGAAGTTGTAGAGAAAGACCCAGAAGACCCGGATGTGGCATTATTCTGTAAACCAGGAAATTCCACAGACAAAAGATGATAATGCTGTTATACACCCAGCACAAGCTCAACTCTTGCTTCACTTTTAGAGGTAGATGAGGGAAAGGTTTGGGGCCCAAATTATACATGCATACATACACAAATACAAAACCAGAAAGCTCGTTGGTGCCAGCATCTAAATTGACTTTTTCTAACTATGCTCTCTAGAGCCCAAATTTCCTTGGAAATATTACAGAACTTGTCACAGAAAGCAGAGCTCCAGCGACAAGCAGCCCTTCTGGGCTTCCCATACAACTGTGCTTGAAGAACTTTCAGGATCAGCTTTGTGGGTGGATGGCCTGGGCATTCCCTCAGGGACTTGTGCTCAGAGGGGACTCCATCTGGGTTTAACAATCTCTTTCCTGCTGCCTGTCTTACAGTTTTCTTCCTTCCTTTCTTTTAGTTTTTGTTCATTTGTTGTGTTTCTTGTTTATTATTGTCATTTATTTTATTTTTATTTTATGTGTATGAGTGTTTTGCCTACATGTATGTTCAGGGCACCTGTGTCGTGCAGTGCCTGCGGAGGACAGAAGAGGGTGTTGGATCCCTGGAACTGGAGATACAGACAGTTGTTAGCCACCATGTGGGTGCTGGGAATTGAACCCAGGTCCTCTGCAAGAGCAGCCAGTGCTCTTAATTAATGAGCCACCTCTCCAGCCCCTGTTATTTTTTGAACAGAGTCTCATGTAGCCCAGGGTGGCCTCCAGCTCGTTATAGTGGAAGCTGGCCTTGCTTGTTGCTGGAGCTCCTGCCTTCACTTTGTTTATAAATTTTTTGTTTTGTTTTTTGAGACAGGGTTTCACTACACAGTGCTGGCTGGCCTTGAACTCACTATTTAGACCAGGCTGAACTCAGATTCATAGAGATTCACCTGTCTCTGCTTCCCAAGTGCTGGGATTAAAGGTGTGGGCCTCCATACCTGGTTGTAATATGTTTTTAAAGGGCCCACATTTCCACTTTTTTTCACCTAAATCTGCAAATTCCATACCCAGTTCAGAATAGAAGTTTCATTACCAGAAAGAGAAAAGGGCATGCCCAAGGTCACACAGTCCACTGGGACCAGAGCAAGGATTAAGTCCCCAGCATTCTCCTTCAGCTCGCTGGTGACTCCTCTTCCACTTTCAGTGTGTGCTTTTGCCATCCCTATGTAGCCTGTAATGAGAAAACTGGAGCTCCAAGAGGTCTGTTTGATGTCATGCATCTGTGAGTGAGGGAGGTACTGAGATATCTTTCTTTTCTTTCTTTTTTTTTTAAGACTTGTGCATTGCTATGAACCTCAAGTTGGCCTCAGACGCTCTATCCTCCTGCCTCAGCCTCCTGAGTGCTAGAAGTTTAGACTACCACCAAGTCTACATCACCAAGCTCTGCTCTGAGTCACATTTGGTTGGTTGGTTGGTTTGTTGAGACAGGATCTCACTATATAATCCAGGATGGCCTCTAACTCACTGTGTAGCTCACTATGTAGTCTAGGTTGACCCTGAATTCATGACAATCTTTCTGCCTCAGCTTCCCAAGTACTGAGGTTACAGACATGCACAATTTACATTTTTTTGATGCTTTGAATCCTGTTCAGAACAGAAAAGGGCATGGGGAAAATGACAGCTACATACACACGCATACCCACAAGTAGTTTAAATAGTTTATTTCTAAGTGATAACTAAGTCCTCCCTCATTTGCAAGCCAACTTGCTCCAGCTGGTCATGACTTGGGACTTCAGAAGGGGATGGACTAGCTACTCTTTACCAGCTAACCCATGTCAGCAGTGAATTTTACCAACTCACCCAGCACTTCCTCAAATTAAGAGTTGGGTACTCTGCATCTCAGAAAAATAAAAATATGAAAGATTCAGTAGCAACTGTTTCCTCTCTGTCCATCCCTGCCCCCCAAGATTCATCACAGCTGGGACTGGGAGGTACTCCCTGAACCCCCACCCAGCCATCCCTCACTCTGAGGCCCGACTATCTCTTTACTTCTGTGTTTCTCTGTGAAACAGGAACTTAGCAAGTAGCTTAGGTCTTGTAGGATGGATGGTTGAGAAAGCCCCAGTGGGCTGTGGCAAGGCCCTGAAGCTGAAAAGCTGGTTTCCCTTCTAGCAGGTCCCAAGCAGCTTTAGGCCCTCTTGCTTGTCATACTACATGTGTTCTAGAATAGTTTGGACAGAGGCACCTTGACTTGACAAGGTGGAGACACACCAGAAATGAGTCCAGAGGGGCAGATATGGGGCAGAGGTTCAGAGTGGGTATAAGAAACTGGAAGTAGGTGCCAAGGTGATGTTGTGGGAGAAGGCAGTGGCTCCAAAATGATCACTAAGTTTGTTCTGGCTTTGGTAAGGAAAAAGACTACCAAAGGGAACCCAGAGGAAACAGATATGGGAACCCAGCATTTTCCATGAGCTGGCGCTGGGCAAAGAACATGCTTGTGCAGGTGATCTGTAGTAAGCCTGATTTCTCTGTCTCTCTGTCTGTCTGTCTGCCTGTCTGTCTGTCTGTCTGTCTGTCTCTCTCTCTCTCTCTCTTGCCTTTTTAGATATGCTAAAATATGTAAAGTTTTTAAATTTTATCATATTGTTGTATACCTCCACACACACACACACACACACACACACACACACACACACACACCCCAGCACACAGAGTGAGGTACATATTATCAAGGACACTTTGAATTCAGTTCTACTTGCCTCCTTTTCTGGGAGGTGTTCTGCTCCTCCTCTAGAGCCCTTGACAAATGTCCCCAAGGTTTATAGAGCCCACTACTCATCCACCTTTGTCCTGGTAACCTCAGGACAGAGTCCTAGGCTGAGCAACCCAGCCCCACCCAGTCCTGCATAGAATGGCCCTCCAATGAGTCATGAGCATGTTTTGTTCTGAGCACCAAAGTTCAATCTCTTCTTCAGAGGGTAATAGCCATAGCTGCCTGCAGGTGGTTTTTGTTTTCAAGTCAAGCTTTTATCATGAGTGCATAGCTCCAGAGATGACTGTCTTCCCTTCAGGGGCTCCCCAGTGTCCACAAGCTGAAAGCCCTGTGTACATCTTGCATGTGCCTGAGGCAAAGATGCAAGAGCCTCCAGCCCCCTTGCCTCTTCTGCTCCTGCCTGCAGTTACCCTTCCTGCACTCATTCTCTGCCTAAGAAAACCATGAAATTTGATAACAAGCCAGACTGCTAAGGTGGGCTTCACCTGGAAATTCCCAGATATTTTAAAGGGACTATATAATTTCTGCTTGAATATTTCTAGAGACTAGATCATCACTTACCAGAGCTGAATTACTATCAGCTGAATATCCAAATTTTTTTCTTTGGAATGAATCCAAATCTCCTGTTTTCCTATTCTCTATCATTCCCAGCCAAATACATGCATCCCACTACATGACAGTTGTTGGGAGTTGACTTGCTTCAAATCCCTCGCCCAACTCTCTAGGCTAAATCTGACAGGTGTTTACTCCTTCACATGCTGACGAAAGCCTCCTTGTAAGTCACTCCCATTTAACCAGCCCTAGCTCCTGCAGCTGTTGCACACATGGTGTGACTTCCAGATGTCCTCCTCATCCTGTTCGCTCCCCTCTGAGCCTGCTTCAAGGTGGCCCTATGGGACCTAGTCCTGCACCCACCCTAGCACAGAGAGAAGGCTATGACAGAAGGACCCACAATGTTTTCATCTCCCCTTTCAGAAATT